CCGACGCAGACGCCGTGCAATCATGGTCGAGTTCGGGTTGATCAGGATGCAGCCCACATCTTCCTTGCCATTATCCTCGCCCTCCTCCCCATCAGTTCCTGTCTCGGGTCATACACGTGCCTTACGCGTCGACGCGCGCGTCCCGTCGTGGCATTTCCACGTCGTCCGACGGCCGCACTCTCCCGAATTCGGCACGCTTCCGTACTTTAAGCGACGCCACACGTTTCATGACCGAGCAGCTTGTCTTCCTCGCTTCTTGCCCGCCACCCACCAAACCACCCCAACCCAACCCGACGGCCCAGCTTGCCCTCCATTCCCAGTGGGGGAGGCGTCGGGGAACATTGAACAATTACATGTGAAACACGCACCCCCCCCAACCCGAAATTTGGGCCTCCGCGGGTTGGGTCAGGGTGGTGTGGTGTGTAGTCATTTGCTGCCGCAGCCCGCCATCACTCTGCAGAGACTTGGGCGAGAGGTGCAGGCGTCAGTCCCAGCCAGCGCAGGCACTGCGGCAGGCTGTGGTTCCAGGAGGCGGCGTGGTCGGCAGGCGCGGTCAGCTCCACGCTCTGTAACCCGGCGCCGCCCGTCCTTCCCAGCGAGGAAGAGCTGTTTGCCCGCCGTGCTGTTCAGCTGTAGCCCGAGGGCGTGCTGCGCCTCCGCCGCTAGCGCTGCGTCCATGGCCCGGGCCTCCGCCTCTGGCATGCCACAGGTGCGGGCCACGAACGCGTAGTCAGAGCCCGTCTTGAGTCGGAGCAGCGCCGCGGCGGACTGCCCGTCCAGGCCGGCCGCTTGCAGCTGGCGCAGTCCCCCAAGAAGCGCGCGCGCTTCTCGGCCAGCGCGGCCACCTCTGGGCCTCCTCCTCCTCCTCCTCCTCCTCCTCCTCCTCCTCCTCCTCCTCCTCCTCCTCCTCCCTCCTCCTCCTCCTCCTCCTCCTCCTCCTCCTCCTCCTCCTCCTCCTCCTCCTCCTCCTCCTCCTCCTCCTCCTCCTCCTCCTCCTCCTCCCCCTCCTCCCCCTCCTCCCCCTCCTCCTCCTCCTCCCTCCTCCTCCTCCTCCTCCTCCTCCTCCTCCTCCTCCTCCTCCTCCTCCTCCTCCTCCTCCTCCTCCTCCTCCTCGCCTTCCCCTTCCTCTTCCTCGTCCTCGTCTCCTCCTCTCCCTCCTCCTCCTCCTCCTCCTCCTCCTCCTCCTCCTCCTCCTCCCCTCCCTCCTCGTCCTCCTCCTCCTCCTCCTCCCCGCCTCCTCCTCCTCGTCCTCCTCCTCCTCCTCCTCTCTCCTCCTCCTCCTCCTCCTCCTCCTCCTCCTCCCTCTCTCCTCCTCCTCCTCCTCCTCCTCCTCCTCCTCCTCCTCCTCCTTCTCCTCCTCCTCCCAGGGCGCGCCGGCGTTGCGCTCCGGCCGCGGGCGTCGGGGGGGGAGGGTCGCTGGCCGTGGCGGACTTCAACTGGGCCTGCGAGGGCGACGCGTCTCTGCAGGCCGCCGGGGGTCGTCGGACGCGAGGGGGGTGGGGGACGAGAAGAGGGGGGAGCCAGGCCACCAGGAGGCGAAGGGGCCCTGCACCGTGGCCATGGCGCTCATGGGGCAGAGAGTACTGAGGGGTGAAGAGGGGCCCCTCGGACAGAAGAGCGGGGGAGCCAGGCCGCGCTGGCCCGAGCCCAGCGTCATCGCCGAACAACCGGCTTCCTCCCCCTCTTTCCTTCCGCTGCCCTCTGTCCCGTCCCCTCCCCCGACGTGAAGCTGAATGGAGCAGCCCGGCACCGCAGCCGGGCACGCGCAGCGTGGGCGATGGGCGGGTTGTCGTGGATCAGACGTGCAGTCCCGCCTCCTGCTTCTGCCGGTTGGGCCGCCTCAGTCCTGTCCTTCCCTTCTCTTTTTTAAGGGGGGGAGGGGGAGGAGGGACGAGGGGCAGGACGAAGGGGGGAGGAGGGGGGGGTGATGGTGATGGCGATGGCGATGGTGATGTTGATGCTGATGATGATGATGATGATGATGATGATGATGATGATGATGATGATGATGATGATGATGATGATGATGCTGATGACGATGATGATGATGATGATGATGATGATGCTGATGCTGATGGTGATGCTGATGATGATAATGGTGAGGATGGGGATGAGGAGGAGGATGAGGAGGATCAGGAGGATGAGGATGCTGATGAGGAGGAGGATGATGATGGCGATGCTGACGACGATTACGATGATGTTGATGATCATCATGATGATGATGATGATGATGATGATGATGATGATGATGATGATGATGATGATGATGATGATGATGATGGTGATGGTGATGGTGATGGTGATGGTGATGGTGATGGTGATGGTGATGCTAGTGGTGATTGGCGAGGAGGAGGAGGAGGAGGAGGAGGAGGAGGAGGAGGAGGAGGAGGAGGAGGAGGAGGAGGAGGAGGAGGGGGTGTCAACGTCAGGCGACAGGACGGGGAGGACGAGAGGGAAAATACACAAACGATACACGCAATATAGTCCTCCGTCCCTTCCTCATGCGCCCATACCAGTCCTCCTTGTGGCTGCAAGGAGCACCACTCTTGGAAGTCCAGCACAGTCGGGCGTGCCATTTTGGCGAGGGCCCCGCTTTAAAAAGGAATTCTAGACGCTTCGCGTAACCCCACCAGCAGTGCAGCAGCCCCTCAGCCGCCGCTTCTGAGTGCTGGCCCGGCCGGCTTACGCGTCGCTTAGTAGCCAATTAGGCTGGCCCGCGCCCCAGACCCCCTCTCGGCGACTGCTTCACGCGTCTGCCTGCGACCAAAAGTAACCCCATCAGCCCATCAAGAGATGATGCCCAGAGGAGTTCCCTCGATCGGGGAAGTGGTCAGCACGAGGAGGAAGGGTCCCTCGTTGGAGAGCTCTTCGGACACTCTCGGGCGCTCTTGGGGCCGTCTTGGGGCTCTCTTGGGCGTCTCTTGCGTCTTTGGGGGCCTCTTGGCGGGCCCAGGGGCGTCTTTGAGCGTCTTGGGTGCCTCGTGGATCTTCTTGAGGCCTCTTCAGGGTATCTGTGGGAGCCTCTTGGAGGCGTCTTGGACGCCTCTTGGGGCCGTCTGGGTGCCTCTTGGGACCCTCTTGTAGCGCCCTTGGGAGCTTGAGGGGTGGTCTTGGGGGCCATCTTGCATGACATCGATCAGAAAAGAGGGGAGGGAGGAGGGAGGAGGAGGACGAGGTGGATAAGGAGGAGGAGAAGGAGGAGGAGGAAAAGGAGGAGGATGAGGAGGAACAAATGACGATCAGGAAAGCCTCCTCGAATGCCTCTGGTTTTAAGGCCTCTTGGAGCGTCGGGGGGGTATCTTGGGTGCCCCGAGGATCATCTTGAAGCCTCTTGGGGGCATCTCGGGAGCCTCTGGGAGGCCTCTTGAGCGCCTCGTGGGGCCGCCTGGGCGCCTCTTGGGGCCCTCTTGCAGCGTTCTTGAGAGCCTTGGAGGCGCTCTTGGAGCCATCTTGGAGGTCATCGATCAAAACAGAGGGGGTCCTCAATTAGCGGTGCCCCTCAGGGGCCCCACACATCGCTTCCTGGACCCCTCTTGGGGCGCTCTTGGGGCGTTCTTGGGGCAGTGTTGGGGCTCTCTTGTGCCTCTCTCAGGGCCTTATTGGGCCATCTTGGATCCATCTTGAGGCCTCGGAAGGCTACCGAAAGCGAACGGGCGGCGATGCAAGCATCATCGGTTGTCCTTAGATTGTTGAAGGATGATGGCCTCTTGGGGGCTCACTTGGAGGTCTTGGAGGCCTCTTGGAGCCGTCTTGGGGCGGGCGGTCTTGGGGCCTGTAGGAGTATCTTCAGAGCCATCTTGAGGCATCTTAGGCTATCTTGAGCCACCTTGGAGCTCATCTTGGGCTTTCCGAGGCGCTCTTGGAGCCGTCTAGGGCCATCTTGAAGGCTCCAACTGCCAGACAACCCACCCGTCCAGGTCCAGGTGAGGAGGGGGTAGGTGGAGGGGTCAAGACACCCACCCGCCCGCAAGTCGTCTAGCTCACTCCCACCCGCTCTCCTTACACATCAGTAACACCCGAGCCTGAGCCAGCGGTCGTCTTTGGATGGGCAGCTACTGGGAACCAAAGCCCACCGCAGGTGCGCGACGTTTGGGCGAGGTGCGCCACGCGTGCCAGGAGCGCCGCGCGCGCCAGGCACCCCTGGGGCCCGAGCGTGCCAGGCACGCCTGGTGCGCCAGATGCGCCACGTGCTCCGAGTGCGCCAGGTGTGCCGCGCACTCCCGCCGCGCCAGGTGCGCCGTTTTCGGGGCACGTGCAGAGTGCGTCAGGTGCGCTTGCGCACGTGACAGCCCACATCGGGAAACATGTCGGCCCCCGCCATCCTTGTCGAAAACCGATGTCCATAATTGTGTCTGCTGGGCCTGCGCACAGCAGACCACGCGCAACCAACCCCGCCGTCCCCGTCAAAAACTACTTGACAGTGATAGCGAGATGGCCGCGCATGATCCAGATTCAGCCGCGAGGTGCATGTTGTATTGTAGGGGTGGGAGCCCTGCGCACAGCAGGGAATATGCTGACACCCACGCCGCCCTTGCCAACACTAATACGAAGCGCTCGCGGGCCTCACGAGCATGATTCAAGAATTTGCCCAAAGTGTACGTTTCATTGATTTTGGACAGGGATGGTGGGGGGCCGCATCGGATGGGCCGCATCGGGGGGCGGGTGGCCATGGTGTCGGAATGGTGCTTGGTTGGCCCCCGGTCGCCTGGGGGAGAGGGCGCATACCAATAAGGAACAGTGATAAACCACTCCCCGAAGGGGAAGACCGGGGTTCGACGAGGAGCCTCCCCAGACCACCGACTCCCTAGAGGGCTGGTGGGATTGCCTCGCATCTCACGTGCGCGGATCCAGGAACGCGAAAGACAATGACCATGCAGTCCAGGGAGTTGTCCAGCGATGTCCCCCGCTTCGAAGAAAGACCGCGCCCTCGTCTGTGCAACCGTTGTGCAAGTTTACACGTGTGGCTCTTCCCTTCGAGGGAGTCCCCAGCGACAGCTCCATTGTGAAGAAGATTCGCCATGGACCCGTGCAGTGCTACGTTCGTTGAAGCTTCGGGCCTTCAGTCTCAACGAAGTCTCAGGCACGGGCCCTGTCAGGAAAAACAGTAGCCCTGCATCCTGCTAGACGTTGCGTTGAAGAGCGAAGGCGCGCGGCGCTGGGGCGAGGGCCCCGTGGTGACAACGACCAGCGCTCAACCCCCGGAAACTGCTGCAGGAGTGGAGGCGAGTGCCCGCGGCGCCGCAGCGAGACAAAAGGGGCCGCCCTCCGGCCGCGAAGCGCCCGCAGGCTTCCACAGCGCAGTGGAGCGGCGCCATGGCGAGAGCACCGCTTTGGAAGCCCCCCCCCCCCCCCATACCACCCCCGAAGTTGTGGCAGAATTCGAGGCGAATGTCCGCGTCGTGGAGGCGAGATCCCCACGCAGAACACACACCCCCTCCGTCCGCGAGGCCGCCGCGCATGTTTCCGCAGAGCAGACGCCGCGCTGGGGCGAGCGCCTCGCGCGGAATAGCAGCCGCTGTCCATGTGCCAGGCGGTTGGCAGGCTTTGGAGCCGAACGTGCGCGCCGCTATAGCGAGAGCAGCACTCTGGAAACGATCCCTCCCTTCCAACTGTTGCAAACAAAGGATTGCAAAAAAAGGATTGCAAAAAAACCCTTGGATTGCAAAAAAAACCAAGGATTGCAAAACAAACCCTGGATTGCCAAAAAAACAGGGTTTTGTTTGCAATCCTTGGTGTTTTTTGCAATCCTTGGTTTTTTTGCAATCCTGAGACGAATGTTCGCGGCGCTACGGCGAGAGCCACACTTTCAAAAAAAACACCCCTTCCTCCGTGGGGCTGTTGCAAAGTTTGAGCTTCGGGATGATCAATGGGGACGTCTCTGCCGAAGCGGCCGGCCCGCCCTGCCAACACGCCCGGGGGTGCGACAGAGCGGACAGATTCATAAGAACAGGTCGTGGTGGTGATGGTACCGATGATGGTTCTGATGGTATTGGTGGTTATGAATAGGGTTATGAATAGGATGAAGGTGATGATGATGATGATGATGATGATGATGATGATGATGATGATGATGATGATGATGATGATGATGATGATGCGAATGATGCCAATGATGATAACGATTATGGTAATGTTGACGGGGATCATGATTTTGCAGATGACGATGCTCATGATGATGCTCCTACGGGCGCCTAGCCTAGACCTCGCCTCCCTGCGGGCGAGGGGATAACTGCTCAAGGTTCACCTTTCTCGTCTCTTACTTGGCATCGCTCGGACGTGTGCATTTTTTCTCGGCGAGAACCATCGAGGACCATCCTGGACCCGCGAGCAAAAAAAACACGCACGAAACCGACAAATGCACGGGGAATGAACGTCCGAGCGACGGCAAGCTTGGTCATCGTCGTCCGTCCGTCTGTCCACCCTCAATGCCATTTCCTTCGGTACTGGCTCAAATCCGCCCTGTCTTGCATGCAACGCGTATGCCCCACTGTGTGCCCCTCAAAGAGCATCGCGTTCCTTGTAACATCATTTTCCGTTTGGGGGTCGCCCGTTGATCTTGGCAATCGATTCGGATGGGTTAGGTACGTCACCGGGTGATTTTAAGACGCGTGCGCGCGGCGCCAAGGCGAGGCCCGATTTTGAAGACGACCCGCCCCCCATCCGTGCAACTGATTGGGAATCTCGAGCTTCAAGAACACAGGCCGTGCGGAAGTCCCGAGCGAAGCCCCCGGCCCGCCTTGACCACACGTCTGGTGATGCGGCGGAGAGGATCTGTTCATGAGGGGGGGATGAGGGAGAAGGGGGAAGCAGAGGGTGCGGGGGCGGAGACGAGGACGACGACGACGACGACGACGACGACGACGACGACGACGACGACGACGACGACGACGGCGGGGCTCTGGAGAAGGAGCGAGAGGTCGGCGGCGGAGCGGGCGCCGGAGGAGGGCTGGGCCAAGGGCGCCCCCCGGCAGGTGAAAGCCCAGGTGCCGCCCGGGCCGGACCACGTCAAAAAGGCGGACCAGAGGTCGGCCACGCGCAGAGGGGGGCACAGTCGAGGCTGATTAGCAGGTCGACCCTGCCAAATCAAGGGCACCCCTGTGTCCTGTGTTTCGCCACCCATGCCGTCTACACGTTTAGGACCACGTGGCCCTCGGAAGGGTCCTGTGTCCTCTCGCGTGCTCTCTTCAATCGACCTCGACTGTAGGGGGAGGGGGACGGCTTCTTTGAAGCACCCCTGCTTCTTGGAGGGCGCGGGCCTTGTCTGCAGATGTGGAGCCGGCGCCATCCAAGAAGCGACCTCCTTCAAAGAAGCCTTGCCCCCCCTCCCCCGGTCCCCTTGTGCGCGCCGCCAACGACGAGGGAGTGCACGAGGCTGGCCGAGGCTGGGGCGGGGCCTGTCGCTTTCCACAGGGGCAGCGCTCAGAGGAGGGAGGGGGTGCCGATACCTCGCCCCTGCCCTCGTTTCCGCCTTTTCATGGGCCTCCTGGGAGGCCCTCGTCGCCGTCGCCACCGATGGGTTCCCTTCGAGATTCTGGTCAGAGCGCCAGGCCTTCCCGAGCCTCCTGGGAGGCCCTCGTCGCCACCGCCGGATTCGCTTCGAGATGTTGGTCAGAGCGCCCCCCACAGGCGAGGTCGGGGGAGCAGCGGCATCGGTACCTTTTTGTTCGGTTTCCCCAGAAGCGGCGGGGGCGATGCGACGACCCGCCATCGCACATTGGGAGGAGGAGGAGGAGGAGGAGGAGGAGGAGGAGGAGGAGGAGGAGGAGGCGGAGGCGGAGGAGGAAGAGGCGGAGGAGGAGGAGGAGGAGGCGGAGGCAGAGGAGGAAGAGGCGGAGGAGGAGGCGGAGGCGGAGGGGGAGGCGGAGGAGGCGGAGGCGGAGACGGAGGAGGAGGAGGAGGAGGAGGAGGCGGAGGAGGACGAGGCGGAGGAGGAGGAGGAGGCGGAGGAGGAGGCGGAGGAGGAGGTGGAGGCGGAGGCGGAGGAGGCGGAGGAGGATGCGGAGGAGGAGGCGGAGGAGGAGGCGGAGGAGAAGGAGGAGGAGGCGGAGGAGGAGGAGGCGGAGGAGGAGTGCGCGAGGCGGGCCGAGGACGGGGGCGGAGCGCCTGCCGCCCTCCACCGGGCGGGGGGATGCGTCGACACCCCAAATGGCACCCCGATCGCCGGCAGGAAAGGGCGATGGCCCACGCCGCCCACCAGGACTGCGCGGATGTGCTGTCGGGGGCCGCCCTAGTGAACGGGTTCTGACGCGGCGCCTCGACATTGGGCGGAAGAGGGGGGGGGAGGTGAGGAGGGTCTGGCTCCGGACCTCGGCTTCATGCGACTGTTTGTAACAGTGCGTCCTCTGGGGGAGGCCGCACCTGCTCGAAGCAGGTGCCCCAAACAGCCAAGATCCACTCCATGCGGGGGGTGGGGAGCGATCGATCGGCAAAACAGTGCATAAGACAGCGATCACCTACCGCCGTTTTATCGGGGATGTCTCGCTGATTCCAGCTCGATGTTCCCCCCCTTCTCCCCACCTCCGTTGCCCCGCACTTCCACAGGAAGGGGAGGGAGGACGAGAGACGGGGCATCACCGCTCATTCCCCCCCCCCTTGTCCTCGTCTTCATTCGCGGCTACGGCCTCCACACCACGGCCTGCGTAGCCATGTTGGCTCAAATCCGAGACCAGACCAACTATTCCTTCAACCTTTCCGAACTTCACGACGAGCTGCCCAGCAGCCGTGAGTTTTCATCGCGCCAGTGTCCGCAGGAATGTCGAGCAGTGGCAAGCGTCGCTGGGTTTCTTGTCATGCTTGCGGGCGTCGCAGCTGGGTTCACGCCGACACTAACATCAGGAAGTGTACCCTGTCCGTCTTCCAGAAGCTTGGCCCAGCAACGACAAAGGCCGCGACAACACCAAGGGCGGCAACGATGGTGGGAGCATAACCATGCCCAAACAAGGAGGGTTGGGACAACGAGGCATTTCATGTACTGCCAAGATCGGTACAGAGACAGCACAGTTTCCCAATCGGGCGGCTCGAAGAACCAGATGGACACCGATGGCGACGACGGCATTCCGGAACCCAAGGCTGAGGACGGCCAGAAGATCCAGCAGCATTTCTCGTCCCTCGGAAAAAAAGTACTTGGCCACCGCCGCTCCGGCGGCCACTGAAGTCCGACTGCGTGGCTCGAGCGCGCGCGTGGCACCACCCGGGCCACCGAGAGAGCCTCTATAGGATCGAGAGAGCCAGAGTCCGACCAGCTCGTCTCGGGAAGCTCGCTCGCGGGGCCAGTCACGGGGCCAGGAAGAGTGTGGCACGTGGCATTCTCCCGGCGGGCGCGCGTGCTCTGGCGATCGCTGGAATCTCGGGCAACGGCCCAAAAGCTCAGATGCATGGAGCTGTCGTCCACAGGCCAGCGAGCCAAAGGTGGAAGCTGGAGTGTCACATCTTCGATTCCTGAAGCCAAGACTGATGTGTGGGCCCTAGCGCCAGTCGTGCGCTGGGCTCAGAAGGCTTGGTCGGCAGCATTAGGAAAGCCACTAGGCGGCGTGGGCACACATTAGCCCAACCGAGTTTAGGAATCTATTGCGCAGCAGGCCGGGCGCAACATTTGCTTCTGTTCGAGAGCTCGTTCGCTTGATGGTGTCGGCCGGAGCTTCGCCGGGCACTTCGCGGCGCGCGCGTGAGGGCAAGGTTTTCCACTTGCGCGACGCATCGCCCAAGCTGCTCGGGCACTGGCTGAGAGAGGCCATTGTCAGGACTCGGGAACGGAAGGCAGCGCAATCCTTGCTTCCTCCTCCTGTCCCTGACGCAGCCAGACTGCGTTCCGATGCTGTTCGAAACGTTCTGACGACGCACGGTGCACAACAGCTATCTCGAAGGGGAAGGGCACCACTCGTCGCGGTAGCTTGGCAGGGTTCTTGGACCACCAGTAGGGCAGCGCAGGCCGGTTGTCTCACGGAGAATTGTTGCGCACCATGCAGGGCCGTCGGGGGCGCGTTGTTCTGCGGGCTCTTCGCTTGTCAGGCTCCTAAGGCGGCTCGACTCAGACGCGAGACAATCCACAATGATCTGCGCGCTGAACTTTCCGAGGCAGATTGCTTCGCTCGTTCGGATGTCTGGAGCACCCCGAAACCCATCCAGATCCCTTCCCTCCCCTGGCTGAGAAAAGCTGCGTGCAGAGCTAGGGAGGTAGGTCCCGAACCCGTCGTGGGAGTTCCGCGCCGTGGCCACGTGGGCCCGCTCGCGGGATTTGACGGGACCTGTTCCAGGATTGGGGTCGAGAGCCTTGACAGGGCCATTTGGTCGGCCACTTGTCGGTGTCAGGGGACTTGAGCTCGTGTGGCCCTGTTGTCGTCCTGGCACCTCAGGCAGGGGGGGCACTTAGGACTTAGGGTTCTCAGCGATGCAACAAACACTATCAGAAGAGTCGCGTGCTTATGTTGATTGCAAGTATGCGATCGATGGATTACACGCGTCTCCAGCAGCAAGGCTATACCATCGGAGTACTACGTACGTGGATCTTCCAGGCCCGCCTTGGGCAGCGATAGTAGCATGCTTCTGAGTCGGTGATCAAAGTTTAAGAACGCCAAGATGAGACAAAGGTCGAGGCATCCGACCGAGTCCCGTGTTTGATCAGACGTACGTGCGATCTTTCAGCGAAAGCGGCCTTGCCGATGCATCCGTCACTCGATCCGTCGTCGCACGCTCGTTTGCAGCATCAGAAGACAAGACCGCTGCTGTTCTCAGATTCGTTCCCACGATCATTGCCCCCTCGAGTGCCAGTTTTCTGCCCAGGCCCCTTCTCCGATCACCAGTCGCACAGGATGCAACCCCGTGTCTTTAGACATGGCCTGCCAGTATTCTGTGCCAGCTGTGGCCTGCACACGCCCTTCCGTGCTCCGGGGGCCTGCACCGTCCCTGCCCGGGCTCGCCCAAGAGCGGCAAGAGGCACATTGTGCGGCGTCGTGCCCAGAGCGCGGGGGGGCACCCAGATTCGGGCATCACCTCTCACGACGCCTCTGGTCTCGAAGCTGTCACGGCTCACTGAAAAAAGGTAGCGAGTTCTGGCGAGCTGCCACCTGCAGTGGCCAGGGGCCCTCGGGCCCGTCGACCAGCTCGGCGTGCCCTCATGCACGCCCTGGGTTTTCGAGGGGAGCGCGCGCGACTCTGGCGTTCGTTCGCGCGTTCCTCCTCGTCGTCGTGCTCCTCCTTCTCCTCCCTTCAGCAGCTCCCCTCGACAGGGCGGGCGCGGCGTACCTTTTGCGCCGGGAGTCTTTCACGGGTGCGGCGTGCACTCTGCACCAGGTTCATGTTGCGGCCGATGGTGTGTTGGGTGCTGGCCACGCGCTGTTGTGCGTGAGCAGCCCCGTGTGTTTTGTGTGCGTGTGTGTGCGTGTGTGTGCGTGTGTGTGTGTGTGTGTGTGCGTGTGCGTGCGTGTGTGTGTGTGTGCGTGGGTGTGCGCGATGGCTTGTGTGCGTGGGTGTGCGCGATGGCTTGGGTGTGTGGCTGGCGTCGAGGTTGTCTCCAGGGCATGCCCTGTCGACGCCGCTTCCGCCGCGTCGCGGTGGAGCATCCTCAAGGCGCGAGCGGGGCTGCAGGTCCTTTTCTCTCGCCTTGCCTGTCAGCTCTCTGCCAAGGGGAGGAACAGCCACCCAGACTCCGACAATTGGCCTTCACTCAACGGCCCTGTGCGTTCACTAACAGCCCTGCCCTGTTCGACTCCTTCCTCGGGCGCGTTTGCTGAAGGCTTCGCTTGTCGGGGTGATTATCATGGGGCCGGAGTTTCTGCGCTCTACTCTGGTCAGCATTCACACTGTTGCCGCTGGGCTGGGCACCCGAGTCTAGTGCGACGGAGACCGCGAGCTTGCCGCGCAGCTCGCCGTCGAATCTCACTGTGTGTGTGTGCTTTGGTGTGTGAGTTGTGTGTGTGCGTTGGTGTGTAAGTTGTGTGTGTGGATGTGTGGATGTCTGTATGTGTGTGCTGTGTGCGTTGCTGTGAAAGCTGTGCGTGTGCGCGCGCGTTCTTGCCCATGCCGGGCCACGAAGCCGGGCCCCCAGTGCCCCAGGCCGCCCGCACACCCCTCCCCCGCCGATTCTCGGCGATCGGGCGTCCTCCCTCTCTCCTCCCCTGCCTCCTCCTCCTCCTCCTCCTCCTCCTCCTCCTCCTCCGCCTGTGCCTCCTCCTCCTCCTCCTCCTCGTCCTCGTCCTCCTCCTCCTCCTCCTCCTCCTCCTGTGCCTCCTCCTCCTCCCTCATCCTCCTCCTCCTCCTCCTCCTCCTCCTCCTCCTCCTCCCTCCTCCTCCTCCTCCTCCTCCTCCTCCTCCTGCCTCCTCCTCCTCCTCCTCCTCCTCCTCCTCCTCCTCCTCCTCCTCCTCCTCAAGAACGAGTGCGGGCGATGATCGGGTGCTGATAGAAGTGCCCCTGGCCCCTGGCCCACGGTGCCCCCAGTGCCGCGGCCGCTCTACTATTGCAAAGGCCCAACGGCTGGAGCCACCAACCCTGAAGGGGGACGACGACGACGACGACGACGACGACGACGACGACGACGACGACGACGACGACGGCGACGGCGACGACGACGACCACGACGGCGACGACGACGACGCTGATGTGGATGGGCGTCCGCCGTCTGTCCTCCTACTGGCATCGGCTGGAGTCAACGGGAGCCGGGCTCGGCGATCCGATTTCGGTTCGATGTGGGACGACTCGCTGTCGAAGCGATCTGCTCCCGATCCGATCCGATCCGATGTCGCAGCTCGATGCAGCTCAGTCCTGGCAGTGCAGTTTACCTGGCATCGCTTGGACGTGTGCATGTTTTTCTCGGCGAGAACCATCGAGGACCATCCTCGACCAACGAGCAAAAAAAAGCACGCACGAAACCGAAAAATGCACGGGAAGTGGACGTCCGAGCGACGGCGAGTTGACGGCCACCCGAGTACAGTCGACGCGCCCAGTGAGGGCGCGCGCCTTCCTCTCGAGGTGCCCCCGTGTCCCTGCCTCTGCGGCCCGTCCTCTCTGCCGTTTTCACGGGTCGCCCGCCGCTCCCAGAAAGTCCCGGCGTCGGCCTCCAAGGGCCTTTGCGTCCTTGCCACCCGTCTTTCATACAGTCGGGGCCCTGAAGAAGGAACGCTTTTCGTTGGGGAGGGGCTCGGTGTTCCTTGATTGTGTCACAGCTTGCCTCAGGTATTCCTTATGGTTTCGATAGGAAATCGAAGTTTAACTTTTGGAAAAAAGGGGCCTCGTTCCTTATTTAGGGCTCCTTAGGTCAACGCCCCGACTGTACACGCATTGACTGCAGTGGAGGAGGCGTGAAAGGAGCAGGTGCAGGGGGCGGGGCACCGCGGCCGCGCGAAGAGAAACGACCCGCCAGCCTCCAGGGCCCACGGGAAATGCGGAGCTTCGAGGCGTCCAGCTTTCCCCAATGTGTCCATCGCTGCTCCGGGCCTTCTCGCCCTCTCGCTGTGGCCATCTCGGGGCCAGGCGCGCTGAGAAACGAGCAGGTGCAGGAACGCGCCAGGTTGGAAGTGTCGCTTGGGGGAGTGGGGGGGGGGCGGTGCGGCTTCATGGGGGTGCGGGGGCCAGGGAGGGGCTGCAGGGAGGGGCTGCAGGGAGGGGCTGGCAGCGATGTTGATGCGCACGGGGCAGGGCAAGGGGAGGCGAAGGGGCAGCAGTGAAACAGAGGAGCGGCACGGGATGGGGGTGGTAAGGGGGGTGTCGGAGAAAGGGCGGCGGGGAACTGCACAGAGGCAAGGGGGGAGGGTGCAGGAGTGGGGAGCGGCAGGGGGGAGGAGATGGACGGGGAGCGGGACAGGCCAAACTCATACCAGCGGTCCGCGAGTTCCTCGACGGCTCCGTCTCCGAGTACAAGGCCGGAGAGCGCAAGAGCCAGGGGGCCTCCTCCCTCATTTCCTGCTGCGGCGCGGAGCCGCCTGCTGCGAAGGCAAGGGTCAGCGTCCATCGGTGCTCTTGGCATCGCTCGGACGTGTGCATTTTTCTCGGCGAGAACCATCGAGGACCATCCTGGACCATCGAGCAAACAAAACACGCACGAAACCGAAAAATACACGGGAAATGGACGTCCGAGCGACGGCGAGTGCTGGCCCTGGCATCGGAGGCTGAAGCCGAAGTTGGTAAAGCCGGTCGGCCCGAGGCCGGGCTGCTTCGGTCCTGAGCGAGCCAGCGGGCCCCCCGCCCGTGGCCGCCTCCCCTTGCCCAGGGGCGCACAAAGAAACAGACAGAGGCGGTCCCAGGATTCACACCGTGGGCTCCCATCTTGTCTGGGTCTTCGTCGTGCCCCCCACTTCCCACACTTTCCCCAATCCCCAATTTCCCTGGGAGTCGACGGCTATTGCGAAGGCCTGACGGCCGGTGCCGCCGACCCTGAAAGAGGACCACGACGTCGGCGACGAGGTGGGCGGAGACGGAGGCCGTGGAAGATGAGGAGGAGGAGGCGAGGAGGAGGGGGAGGAGGAGGAGGAGGAGGAGGAGGAGGAGGAGGAGGAGGAGGAGGAGGAGGAGGAGGAGGAAGGAGGAGGAGGAGGGAGGAGGAGGAGGAGAGGCAGGAGGAGGAGGAGGAGGAGGAGGAGGAGGAGGAGGAGGAGGAGGAGGAGGAAGGAGGAGGAGGAGGAGGAGGAGGAGGAGGAGGAGGAGGAGGAGTGAGGCAGGAGGAGGCGGAGGGAGGAGGAGGAGGAGGAGGAGGAGGAGTATCGGAATATCGGATTCCAGAACAATGTCAGATAAAACGAAAGCCGATCAGCCCTGAGGGCGAAGCCCTCTCTCGAACCTGCTCAAAATTTCACGTCCACCCACGCTGATCACATGCGGCAAACATGGGCGGGTCAGGGACCTAAGCTGAAACTGATCATGGAAACCCCAGGCCACACAACACCAGGAATCCAACACATCACTGGAAACAAGCTCGTGAGAAGGATGTGCTGGGCCCCGTCTATGTGCACCAGACCCCCCCCGCGGCAGCCTGTGCCCCCCCCCCCCCCGCCTCCTCCATCGGCTAGAACGAGACGGTGGCATGCTGTGCGCATCCCGGCGGTCATCTCGGCGCGGCTCGCCGACGAACGGCAAGCCATGCACCTGCTGCCCGTCTCGACCAGAACGTGTTGCGATTTATGATGTTCCAACCTACCTTAGCCCTGATCGCCAAAACGAATATCCCTCCCTCCTTTCTCCGTCTCCTTCTCCTTCTCCTCTTCCCCCTCCTCCTCCTCCTCCTCCTCCTCCTCCTCCTCCTCCTCCTCCTGCCTCCTCCTCAACTACTCCTCTCCTTTCCTCCTTCCCTCCCTTCATCCTCCAGGTCGACAGTGGGCCTCATGCGGTCGAAGGTCGAAGTTTCCTCTCCCCTCCCTCCCCCCTTCCTGCTATCGTTGTCGGTGTTTTCGTGGTCCTCCTCCTCCTCCTCCTCCTCCTCCTCCTCCTCCTCTTCCTCCTCCTGCACCCTTCATGCTCCATGGTACTTCTCCTTGCTCCATGCTTCATGGTCCACCATCCTCCATGCTCCATGGTACTCCTTCTCCTCCTCCTCCTATCGTCCTCCTCCTTCTGCTCCTTCTCCGCCTCCTCCTCCTCATCATCATCATCACCCTCATCATCCTCCTCCTCCTCCTCCTCCTCCTCCTGCTCCATCCCCCTTCTCCGCCTCCTCTTCCTCTTCCTCCTCCTCCTCCTCCTCCTCCTCCTCCTCCTCCTCAAGCTGCCGCTTTGGGTCAACCTCCCGGGTCGACCCCCGCGGCCGCTTGGCAGGCGACCTCCCCAGGTTGACTGCCCCGCTCGCGCCGCCGCGGCCATGTCTGGCGCGGCTGTCGGCGATGCCTCGTCTGGTGTTGCTCGCCGCCGTCGCGAGCAGAAACAGCGCTCCACTGCCCGCAACGTGCAATGACTGCTGTCGCTGCGCCAGGCCGGTGCCGCGCATCACACCTCCGCTCCAGGTAGTGTTGGGGCCTCGGAGGTCTGCGAGTTGCGACGCGAGCTCAGCGTGATGAAACAGGAGATTGCAGAGCTCCGCATGCTGCTCGCGTCAGCTGGGCACTTGAACTTCTCGGCAGCTGTTCATGGTCTCGGTGAAGATCCTGAGCCCCATGTTGTCTCTGGCGTTCCTGGCTATTCTCGTGCAGATCGCGAAAGCCGAGGCCCAAGTGATGGGCCCTACTCCGAGGTCGGTAAGGACAAGGGCAAGGTCATCGGGAACGGCAAGGGCAAGGCCAAGGAGGCCTTTGGTGCGCTCCCCGGCAACCCTCCTGCTTCTCCTCTTGCTGCTGATACTGCACCCACTCCTCGTGCTTCTGGAGCTGTTCACGGCAGTGGAGTTGCTCCCTTTGCAGGCGATGCCGGCCAGGCGGGACATGCGCCGCTTCCTGGAGCTCTTCCTGGCGATGCTGCCGCCCCCTCTGCCAGTCGGGACGCCTGGGCAGATGGCCATGACTCGCGGGCCCAGGTGCGAGCCCCTGCTGCTCGCCATGTGTCTCGTGAAGAACGTCTTGCTCGATTCAGTACGGGAGCGCCTCCTGCCAAGAGCAAGGACAATGAGAAGGATGTGAGGGCCAATCGTTTTCCTCCCGTTTAGCCTTCCCCTCCCTTCCTGCCTCATTATGTATCCCTCCCTCCCCCTGCCTCTTCCCCCGGAGTTGTCTGCTCGATTATGGGGTGGTGGAGGCTTGGAGGAGCGAGGAGGCGGAGGAGGGTATTGTTTCTTTTTAAACGACTGTGCTATATCGTGCGCAGTTCATTGATTCCTCGTGGCCAGCGGTGGCAACCAATGGGACTGGTTTGTAGCCTACCGCTTGCTTGCCCCTGCTTTGCACTGCGTGGAACTCATCGCGGTTGTTCTCTCTAGGTCGGGTCCTCTGGCATGTTGTTTGGAGGGCCGCCCTGTGCCGCTTAGCGGTGCAGGGTCGGCTCTCCATCCTTCGTTGCTGGATGGCCCAGCCTTGCTCCCGACGTGTCCAATCCAATCCAATTCTCCTCCTCCTCCTCCTCCTCCTCCTCCTCCTCCTCCTCTCTCCTCCTCCTCCTCCTCCTCCTCCTCCTCCTCCTCTCCTCCTCCTCCCTCCTCCTCCTCCTCCTCTCCTCTTCTCTTTTCCTCCTCCTCTCCTCCTCCTCCATCCTCCTCCTCCTCCTCCTCCTCGTTTCTTTTCTCCTCCTTCCTCCTCTCCTCCTCCTCCTCCTCCTCCCCCCTCCTCCTCCTCCCCCCCTCCTCCTCCTCCCCCCTCCTCCCTCCTTCTCCTCCCCTCATCCTTCATCCCCTTCCTCCTCGTCATCCCCTGCTCCTCGTCCTCCTCCCAGTCCTCCTCCCCCCTCCCTCCCAGACGGAGACGGCGACGGCGGCGGCATCGTCGCCGCTCCCGACAGCCCCGGGGTCAGCCCCCAGCCAACTGCGACGGCGGCGAGACCGACGGCGGCGGCGACGGCGAGGACGGCGGCGTCCACGGCGGCGGCGGCGGCGACGGCCCAGTCATCGCCGCTCCAAGGGGCCCAGGCTCCAGCCGCGGCGACGGCGGCGGCGAAGGCGGCGGCGCAGGCGGCGAAGGCGGCGAAGGCGGCGGCTCTGCCGCCACTCAGGCGTTGAGGTCCTCGGACGGCCCCAAGTGGTCGAGCCAGCTGCCTCCCGCCGCGCCCGCCGCCGCGGCGGCCCCCGCGGCGCCCGCCGCCGAGGGGCCGCCGCAGGCGCGCGCGCGCGGGGCGGCCGGCGCCGCTGCCAGCGCCGCCGCCGCCGCCGGCCTCGTCTGCGGAGTCGGGCGCCGTCGGCGTCGCCGCAGGCCTCGGTGTCGGCGCCGCCGTGCCGCCCGCGCCGTCCCGCGCCGTCGGCGTCGCAGGCGTCGGCGCCAGAGTTGCTGCTGCCGTCGCCGCCGCCGTACCCGCGCCCGGCCCGCGTGGAGATCCGCTGGCGCTGCTGCGCCGCCGCCGCGGCTCTGTGCCGCTGTCGGCGTCTCCGCCGTCGCTGTCGTCGTCTCCGCTGGCGTCGTGCGATGTCGGCGTCGTCGGCGTCGCTGCCGTCGGCACCTCCGCCGTGCCACGCTCGGCTCGACATGGTGAGCGTTTTCTTATTCGGCCTTTCGACACTTGGCGGAAGAAGGGGGGAGGGGGGGTCTGGCTCCGGACCTCTGCTTAGTGCGACTGTTTGCGGCAGTGCGTCTTGTGGGAGAGACTCCACCTGCTCGAAACAGGCGCCAGAATCTGCTCCATGGGGTGGGGGAGAGGGAGGGGTGCAAGGGCCCGCGCCGATCGGCAAAACAACGTTAAGAAAACGATCATATGCGCGGCCAGCTGCCTCACGACCGCGGCTGCAGGCCCCGAGCCGCGGTTCGAGGGCCGCGGTTCACTCGGAGTGAATCTTTCGAGGGCCTCTGCAGGCGCTGTCGTCGCCTCGGCTGGGCGCAGCTCGAACACGTGGTCACGAAGGTGTTTGGGGTGGACTCCGAGAGCAGAGACGGGCTGGCCGACCCAGGCCTCCAGCGGTGATGGAAGTTGGTCGATTTGATTTGCCCGACTGGCCTTTCCTCTCGTTGCTTACACGCCAGTCGTTGAAAGTAGGTAGCCCTGAACTTCCAAATCCCCATATACTTATACCGCCGTCCTACTGCAAGAATCGATCCGTTTTGGCTGATGATTGTTATTATTTGGCCGCACTCGAACCCAATAGACTTGATCAGCCTTCCTACTTCATGTCTCCACCTACTTTTTCCGACTGGCGTGTAGGTTCGCCTGAGAAGGATCTGCGACGTGAAGCTGGTCCCAGCGACGATGTCGAGAGTTTCGGGGGCCCGCGTCGCGCCAGAAGGACGTCGTCGGAGGCACGGGTCTCGCCCACCGTCTATCCAATTCTCCAACGATCCGACGCTGAACTAAGAACCGCTTCGGGCTTGGTGGGGGCTCTGGTTTTCGGGGCGTCGGAGGTAGTCTTGCCCACCTCCTGCCCAATTCTCCAACGATCCGTCGCTGAAACAAGAACCACTTCGGGCTCGGTGTTCGGCGTGTTTCTTCGATACAGGCTGTGGGGAGGAGGAGGAGGAGGAGGAGGAGGAGGAGGAGGAGGAACAGGACGAGGAGGAGGAGGAGGAGGAGGAGGAGGAAGAGGACGAGGAGGAGGAGAAGGAGAAGGAGAAGGGAGGGAAAAGGGAGGGAGGAGGGAAGGAGGGAAGGATGGAAGGAGGGAAGGAGGGAGGAGGAGGAGGAGGAGGAGGAGGAGGAGGAGGAGGAGGGGACGCCTATCGTGGCCGAGACTGGCCGTGGCCAGGAACGCCTCTTCCTTGTTCGGCGCCCCGTGTGTCAGCACGACGGCTGCATATGTTGGTGGGGAGCGAGGCGACGCTGAACTCGGCGGCGAGCGGGGAGCGGGGGAAGCGAGCAGGAGAAGGCCTCCTCAGAAGGTTCGGAAGTCCCCCCGGCCTTGACGAGAAGTTCTCTGCGCCTCCCCCGAGGGCTTCCGAGAAGCCCCGCCGCCTTCCGCGAGGGCCTTCGCCTCCTCGCCTCCCCCCCCCTCCGCGCGCCGCCGCCGAGCGGGCAAGTGCAGCTCCTGCCGGGAAGACCTCGCGCCAGGCCGGGCCTCGGCCGCTGCCGCGTCGCGCGGCGGCTGGCCCCTCTCACGAGTGTATCCCCGCCGTCCGCTCCGCCCCACGGATCCCCATCGCTCTTCTTCGCCCGCGCCCGCCCGTGTGCAGAGGAGACGACGAAGGCGACGACGACAGCCACGACGACTGCACGCGGGTCGTCGAAAGTTGCTGCTTCTGGATGCCGAGGCCCCAATCTGCCTCGAGCGACTCGAGCGCCGTCCTGCGTCAATCATCGATGTGTCTTTGCCGTTTTTTGCGATGCTTTGGGCGGGCCCGAACCCAATCCGCGTTCCTGCCTCATGTTTCCGCCGACTTCCCACTGGCGGGTGCGAGATGATTATGACGGCGGCGGCGACGACGACGACGACGACAACGACGACGACGACGACGACGACGACGACGACGACGACGACGACGACTCCCGTCAGGCTGCCGAGGCGCCGGGGGCGCCGTGAGGCAGCAAGCAGGCGTGCGGGGTTGAGGGGACGTGGTCGCCGCTCTTTGATGGATTTGCTCGCCGCTCGGCGCGGGCCCCCGCTCCACCCCCCCCTCCCCCCTCGTGGACCAGGTATTGGCTGCTTTTGGCGGCTGCTTTTGTTCCGGGCCTCCCGGGCGGGGTCGGAGTAGATGGGGGTCGAAGGACCGCGCCGCATCACCGATGCATCGGCGATGCGGCTCGACGCGGAGCCCGCCTTCCGCCACGCCGGCGCCGGCGGCGCCAATGCATCGCCGACATCGCTGGTGCATCGCCAACGCATCGCCGATGCATCGGCGATGCGGCGCCATTCTTCGACCCCATCTACTCCGACCCCGTCTGGGAGGCCTCTATTTTGGCGACTGTTATAGGACGCATGTCTATGACGCGACCGGTATAGGAAGCATGTCTACAGAGCACGGGGGAAGTGAGAAGGAGAAGGCCTTCTCAGAAGGTGGGGGGATTTTTCAGGGAGCCCTCGCGCCTTCTGTGAGGTTTTTTGTGTCTTCGGGGAAGGCTTGGGAAACTTCTCGGATGGCCGGGGACTTCCGAACCTTCTGAGGACGCCTTCTCCTTCTCACTTCCCCCCCCTCGCTCGCCGCCGAGTTCAGCGTCCCCTCGCTCCCCACCAGCATATGCAGCCGTCGTGCGGGCGCCGAGCAAGGAAGAGGCTTTCCTGGCCACGGCCAGCCTCTGCCACGATAGGCCTTCCCTCCTCCTACTCCTCCTCCTCTTCCACCTTCTCCTCCTCCTCCTCCTCCTCCTCCTCCTCCTCTTCCACCTTCTCCTCCTCCTCTCCTCCTCCTCCTCCTCCTCCCCTCCTCCGCCTCCTCCTCGGCCACGATAGGCCTCCCCTCCTCCTCCTCCTCCTCCTCCTCCTCCCCCTCCTCCTCCTTCTCCTCCTTATCCTCATCCTCCTCCTCCGCCTCCTCCTCCCCTCCTTCTGGTTCCCCCCCTTGCTCGCGGCCAACCCCCCCTCCTCCCCCAGCCTCAGCCACGCGCAGAGGGGGGTGGCGGGAGGGGGGAGGGCTTCTTAGAAGCACCCCATGCTTCTTAGCAGGAGCGGGCCGCCTCTGCAGACGCAAGGCCGGCGCCTTCGAAGAAGCAGCCCCCTTCTAAGAAGCCTCCCCCCCTCCCTCCATCCCCTTGCGCGCACCGCCAACAACCGTCGGCCCAAGGTCGAAGTCCAGAACAAGACCACCCCTACCGTTAAGTCGGGCCTGTCTCCCTACAGGGGGAATATTCAAAAATAGTCAAACATAAGTTGTTTTTGAAATTGTATTTTTGGATATCTTTAAGTTTTCGTCCAACATCCCTCTGTAGGAGGACCGGCCCGACCTAACCCCATGGGGGGAGGGGGGGGGCGCGCCACGGGCCCTCGTGGCGCGCGCGCGCGTCCGCCGGGGCGCGGCGCGCGGAGCCTTTTGCTGGGGACCGCGCTCAGCGGATGCGTCGTCGTCGTCGTCGTCGTCGCCGCCGTCGTCGTCGTCGTCGTCGTCGTCGTCGTCGTCGTCGTCGTCGTCGTCGTCGTCGTCGTCGTCGTCGTTGTCGTCGTCGTCGTGTTTTTTGCACGACCTCTGTGGGCCTGGGGAAGAGGGGGGGGGGCGCCCACGGTGCGGGCAAGGGGGGCGCCCACGGTGCTGGCAGAGGAGGCCGTGCTGCCCGCCGCTGTGACGACGACACGCCGCCGCGGCGACGGCGCTCTGAAGGGCGGCTGCCGCCGTGGCGGTGCCGCGGCGGCGTGCAACGACGACCACGACGACGACCACGACGACAACGACGACGACGATGACGACCACGACGACGACGACGACGACGACGACGACGACGACGACGACGACGACGACGACGACGACGGATCGGGTCGGGTTCGCATCGGGTCGGTCGGCGCCCAGTTCGGTCCGTCCTCGCCCCTGCCTTGCCCGCACCGTGAGCGGCCCCCCTCTTCCCCAGACCCACTGGGGTCATGCAAAAGTCACGACGGGAGGTTTTTCTCGCTATGCTCGGACTCTGGGGGCTCTCCCTGGGCCTCGGGACTGTCAACAAAAAGACGCAGGATGAAGAGCCGGTCCCTGGGAAGGTGTCCAGACCTCCCTCTTGGGGGCCAGCGCTGTTAAACAATCACGACGTCGGGGGTCCGAGCTCGCCCTGGCCTTGCCTGCACCGTGGGCGGCCCCCCCTCTTTCCAGGAACAAGAAAGAACCACAACCCTAACTAAGTGGATTTGTCGGGAGGGCCCCCACTGGGGGGAGAACCCACCGACCACGACATGAGCATGTTGGTTGTGGTTGTGGTGGTCGATTTGGCCGTCCTGGGACGCCACATCGACCACGACCAGTACGAGGTTGGTCTCGGCGTGCCCACACTTGTTTTGGCATGCGCAAGACATCCCCCAGGGTGCGTCCTCGTCGCTTGCTGTCCCCGCACTCTTGGCCCTGGCACGGTCCGCCCGCCGGAGTTGGCATGGTGGTAGCCACCTTGAGATCTGGAAGCTTTCGGACAGTGCTCCCTGCAGTCGGGCGCTCCTGTCACAGCGTGCACCAGCTCTTTGAAATCCACGTGGCCATCGCGCGCTCTGGAAGAGGAAGCCTGGAGCGATGGAAAGCTGCACCAGATCAGCCATGGGCGCTTTGCAGTGCAAGCCTGCCTCCAAGTCCTGGCCTTCCTCCTCCCACCCGCGCCTCACCGTCCACTCAGCAGCGACTTCTCAGCACTCCTGCCTTTTGGAAAGAAGAGGAAGTGGACAGATAGCTGCGGGGCCGCTGGCAGTGCATCCGCATCTGCTATCTTAGGTAAGCGGTTGGCTCTTGTCGGGTGCCGCCTGCGCGTTTGAGAACATCATCTGGTAGTGGCTGGTTGCCCAAATGTTCGTGATCCTTCACCGGTCAGTATGGTGAGGGGGGCCAGCCAACCCATCATCCTCACGTGGGTCCGCAGCTGGGCTCGGCCAGAGTCCCGCTTCGGCCTCGCAGACGGGCACACCCGCTGCGCTGCTGCGGTGACGCACTTCTGAAGCTCGCGGCGCTTGCCTTCTCGAGCATTGTTCTGCCGTCCGTGACCATCATTCGATCCACCAGGTCCGATAGCGCAACCGTTGTCTTCTTCATGGTCTGCTCGGAGTCATCTGTTATGTATGACTCCACACCTGTATCGATGGGCAGTACGGCTTCCTTCGATCACTTCGAGTTTGGTCATCGACGCTGGGAGGAGGATCAGGATGGATGAAATGAGGGGAAGACGATGGAGGAGGAGAAGGAGAAGGATAATGAAATGAGGTAGGAGAGGAAGCGAGGGTAAGAAGGGGTGATGGGAGGGTGTGGGTGGGTTGGAGGATGAATGAAGATGGCGCAAAAGGCCTCCTAAGAGACTTATCCCTTCTGTTGGCCTTAATCATTATGCCGGAGTGAGTATGAAGCATCCGCGCGCACACGCACACACACACACACACACCTGTAACTAAACACTGCTGCCTCTCAAAATCAGAGACTAGTTCAAAAGTAGACCGCGCCCCCCCAAATTGAGCAAACTGCAATATCCTGGTCAGTGGGCATGTCCCCGATTATTTCCGACAGTCCCAGGTCTTGGTGACAGGAGCACCTTTTCTAAGTGGGTATTTTTGGAAACCCACTTTTACACAATTCACGTCTTTGTACTCTTGTAGAGGGTGCGAAAGGGCCGCTGAATGCCACGGAAGGCCGCTGAGGGCCACTTAAGGCTGCCAGGGGCGACCGAAGGCACCAACATGCCGCTAATCATATGCTGGAGGCCGCTAAAGGCAACCAAAGGAACTTATATACCGACGCGGTGTGTATGTTAGAATGAGCTTCCAAAAAGACTCCCCAAACCTGCTAGAACTCACCGCCCTCCATTTCTAGTGGGGGGGGGTCGGGGAACACTGAAACAACACATGGAACCCGTAGCCGCCTCAACCCGAAATTCGCGTCAAGTTCGGGTCTTCGGGTTGGGTCGGGGTGGTCTGGCAGGTAGTCAAGAGCACCAGCGCTGGCTCGCAGAGGCGCTCCGACGCGCTCTCGTTGGAGGACCAATCTTCCTCCCTGCGCGGGGACAGTGTAGGCCGGGCGCTCGTGCAGCGAGCGCCGCCCCCCCTTCGTGGCGGGAAGGGCCCTCCACCTCCTCCTCCTCGCCCCCCTCGCCCTCCTCCTCCTCCTCCTCCTCCTCCTCGCCCTCATCCTCCTCCTCCTCCTCCTCCTCCTCCTCCTCCTCCTCCTCCTTCTCCTCCTCCTCCTCCTCCTCCTCCTCCTCCTCCTCCTCCTCCTCGTGATGAGCCCTCCCCCGGCGGGCCACTCCCGGATGGACGGGGGCCCCACGGCACGGCCAGGTTCCCGCTCGGGAGGAGGCATCCCACTCTTCGGCGGCAGCCCGCGATGGAGACGCAAAAGCACGCTCGGCCCTGCCCTGGTCGGGGGCCGAGGCGGGGCCCATGGCAGGAAGGAGGAGAAATAGGAAGAGGAGTAGGAGGAGTAGGAGGGGGAGGGGGAGGGGGAGGGGGAGGAGGAGGAGCAGGAGTAGGAGTAGGAGGAGGACGAGGAGGAGCAGGAGGAGGAGGAGGAGGAGGAGGAGGAGGAGGAGAAGGAAGAAGGGGACGACTACGACACGAAGACGACGCCACAGTGTCAAGGAGAGGAGGGGGAAGGGTTAGGGGGACGACTACGGCGCGAATACGGCGCCCCCCCACCGACACCTCGAGAGGGGGGAGGCGAGGGGCGCACGCCCCCCCGATCTTCCATCCGGAGACCGATCGCATCCATTCCCTGCCTCGTTGTCATCCGTGTTTCTGTCACAGGTCGTCTGCGACCGGCCTTGGTTTGATGGACTCGGTGTCTCGGCTTTGAGCGCTCCTCCCGACGTGGCTCGAGTGCTCGTGTGCCCTCGGGCACCGCCCCGGGCACCCGATTTGTTGCCGAGTACGCGTAAACACGTGTCAGAAGAACGCACGCTGGAGCACAGTAGCCGCTCACA